TGTCTCGGATTGCGGACACTTGAATGGCGGCGGACGCCTGAAGTCGTAGTAAGTCGGCTCCGATGCAGCTGCTGACGTTGTTGTTGGCGACAACAGCGTGTCAGACACCAGGCCGGGCCGGCATGCAGCAGTTTGGTCGGCGGTTTGGGGTCACGCGGCCGCGGCACGGCGTGTTTGGAGCGAGTAAGCTGACTGCGTGACGACCAAGACCATCCGTTTAAAACAAAAACGTTGGCTACCGAGAGGCGCTTTCAACGAAGGACTGCTCACTGCCACCGGCAATATGCCAAAGTTACTCTTGTCAGACCGCGCGGTGGGACTAGCGCGAGGTATGTTGCATTGTCTGCTTGCTAGTTACTCGCATCGTGTCTGGCCGACACCTCTCATGCCACGAACGTGCGCGAGCTCCCGAACCAATCGACTGGAGTGCTATTTGTGTGTCCGTCAAGGGCCCTCAAGCAGACCCATGCGTCCCTGCGGGCTGGGATGGGACGGCCCAACGCTTCTTCCTGGTGTTCTTGACATGTATTCTCATGCCGGACATGGCCGCTGACCGACCCCGGTGGGAGCTGGCTATTTTGATCTGGCCTGCAGCTTGAGGAGACAAATTGAGAATTGATCGTGAATTAGGTTTTGAATTATCTGAGACCCAACGGGAAAATGCTTGTATTAAACGAAGGAAGTTGCGACATATCCTCCTGAAACCGGACACCGTCCTTTTCACCAGCCGTCCGTGCTTTTCCCATGCGAGGCAGACAGACACCTAGGTACCAGAGGTGGATTGCAAGACCAGAGATCTCTAAGACCTACGACGTTTTAACACCTTACCTTGCGGAATTCAGGAGTAATTTCAATATTTTGGAGAAAAATCCTGTTTAGTCCATGATCCATTGTCAGATCTCTCTGAAAGATCTTCTGAGGCATTAGATGCTTTTTATAATACTGTGAGGAGTCCTCAAGCATTTCCGTTTGTTTCTAGGATTTCTTTCTACCTTGAATCATTTAGGATTGAGCCTATATTCTTACACGGTCAACTTGGGAGTTGTGAGCTAGCCACACCAAACAAGAGAGAAAACCCTCCTGTTCGCCACGGCTTGATAAGTTTTTTCGAAACATTTTTACCGTTGACCCTTACACCACGCATTTCTAGGCTGCATCCTTATATGCCGCCATTTAACGACAAACCGAAGGTCTAAATCGATAAACTACAGCGGACATGACTGCAGATATGCAAGGAAATCGGTGCATGTTGACAATTTCCAAGCTTGTTTGCATCCGTCTGTCTGGAAACATCGGATGTTGACTAACAGTTGTTTCAATTAGCAACTTCCTACCGAAATCTTCTCCGCGCTATTTACTTTTCCCAATTCGCTGACACGAATTCAATTACAGCCGTAACTGCCGCCACCGTCTTTGCCGCCAGTTATTTTTCAGTACTGACTCGACGTGGTGGTTTGCTGAGTTACCCAAGCTTTTGCATTAACTTAGAAGGAGTGTTTAGATGGGATTTTGAACGGAAATAGCTGTCTTGAAGACCTTTCGGTGCTGTTCACAATCCTGTCATTTTAATGACGTAAGCCCTCTTGTTTTTGAACCATGCGCCCTCGAACATTGGGAAAGGTATATCGGGGGAAGTATTTCAAAGTCACCTTGGCATTGATGACGTCGTAATAACGCCATTCAGATCCTGCCATTTCATAAGCCATGCGGCGATCAAGGTCAAGCAAGATATGATTGTCGAGGCGTTCACATCTGGCATTGGTTAGAGCGAATTCTAAACGTAAGAACCTCCAATTGACTCTTGATCAATGTTGTGCAAGGTACCATGACGCAATCAAAACATGCCGCACTAAGCAGCATATTTACTAAACATAGAATTGTGCTATCTAGAGCAGTCTTTTCCACTTTCCACAAGCGCACCAATAGCTATGAATGAGCTTGTTTCATCATATATGATGCTCGCTTCAATATCTTCACATGTAAAGCATTCCCTTCAACAAATACATCATACAGCGAACATGAATGCTAGATCTACCTCTTCCTGAGTTACCCTCGCGGTGCCGGGCCGGTTGACGCGATCATGTTAACTTCAATGAGCAGTTTGCAGCATCTGATTACTGGCTAGTTTTGCGTTGGTGTTGATTTTGCCGGACATTGAGCAAGGTTTATTATGCCTTGGTTGACCAAGAATTGTCTGGTGTCGTGTTCCTAACGTGACGAACTTCAGAACGCAAGTTTTGCTTTTGTGGAGATTTTGTTGATCTTGTTGTAGTTGTTCAATATCTTACATTGCATGAAGGCCTTGCTACCTCCCCCGCTTTTATAGCTTACCTGCCGCAAAAACCTGCTCACAAATTACGGTACAAATAAATACCAATAGTAGTTTAGGTCTTCTGCATTCTCAAGTTTTTACACATACATGGGACATACCGACTGCAACGTCAGCTATAAAGGAGATGGTTGGTGTGCTCCTTGGTGGATACATTAAGCTGACTCCAAAAATTTGCCCAAAATTGATGTTTTGATGGCTATAACGTCCTCAACATCAGCAGCTCCCCTTGCCGCATCTAGTTCAGACACTGCACCACCTGAACCCAGCACATGCGGCCGTGGTATCCGAGCGCGACGATCCCCGGCTCTGACATTATGATCAGTTTCAACTTAGGATTAGACAATGAGCTCATTAGTTTCGTGTCATTCAGGATGGGGCTTTCAATTACGTTCAGCATTATTTTCGGAAGTGCGCAAGTAGCTTTGACCGCGGCGGCCATTGGGCGCACTGAGGGCTGGTAAACATTCCTTTAAAAGCATCTGTCTCGCTGCCGCGGCGAGGGAACAGCACAGTCCATCTCAGGGCTTTGCCTGCCCCGTAAATACGGAATTATGCCCGATCTGCTGTGCCCAGAAAGTACAGCGGTCTGCTTTGCTCTCCACATCACTTGCACCAAGCCCTTTTGAGGGGTTTCGGTTTGTTCGCCTGCCTGGCGTTCGACAATCAGGTCCTTGACTTATTAGGAGACTGCCCAACTCAGTACCATCTTTTCAGGGATTTCATCTTGCTACCTAATGTTACGAGGAACAAATTGTGGCACGCAGATTCTGAAAAGTTGCTGCGTATGTCAAAGACTAAAACGCAAACAAAAATAGTCATTGAACAATGACGTTTAACACCTAGCAACAACTCTGATCCAACGGCCTCATTGCAAATGACCACTGGTATGCAAGTGTCGATGCAGCTTTTCCATAATTTTAACCACCCCGCTCTGGCCAAGCTTCGACCTGCCACCACCAATTAAAAAAAAAACCTGCCGCCACCAATTAAATTAAATTTTGAAATCGCACCAAACTTTTGAGCACTTGCGGAAGACTAGCTGGGCACGGAATCACACAGTTCATATGCGACCAAGGTTCAAGCATGTATGGTGTGTTGCTACCCAGCTTCCGCAACATACCAGTGTAACAAATGATGTACAGAAACGAACCATGCGTTGCGGTTTGGGGCGTTCTGCGCGAAACGAAGCTGTTGCCGAAGCCTAGAAACAATGCACGATATTGTGCAAGAGGCTGCAAATATATAAAAAGCTTATATTTAGCAATCCAAAGAAGAGGTATATAAGCCTGTAAGGCTTAAATGTCATGTCAAAGGTGAAATATGCACGCCTCATTCACGCTTATGCGTGACCTTTAAAGTATGCGCAAACCGCAACATAAGCGACGCTTTGCAGTATCCAATATGAATGTCTAAACCTGGGAATTCTGTGAATTCCAACCTTTTCACAAACACACACACACACACAAAGTCTCAGTGAATTCATGTTCTTTGCACAAGTGCCCAATGCACCCGTCAATCAGGTACAAAGGTTAAAAATGTTGTAACATGTAAGTTCAAGTGAAAGGTCCCTATGAATACCAACTGACTAACAACCTTACTTACCTACTGAGCAATGCAAATAGGCTTTATTGTACGACTGAAATGTATGTATATTCCTTGCCGAATAATAACACAAGTTGTATTAAAACGCAGTAATACTGACTGTCAATTCCTTTCATTTTTAATACAAACCGCCGCGAATGTATTTATATTTGAAAGTATAGGATTTGCCCCACTTCAGGGTCCTTTTATTGGCCACAGGACACATACGACTGAACAAAAACCCATCAGTACACTGCACGTGTCGACGTCAACACAATGCCTTCATTAATGAACCATTTTAATTTCGTACTACTTACGATAAGACACGCAAATGTAAATTCGTTCCGCAAGCAGCCATGAAAAGCAAACACGATCGTCATGCAATATGCCGGCCATGCAATCAGCAGACTGTGCGCAGTACAGCGTACATGTGCGTATCATCTCGCCCCAACACCCGAATTTATCTTGGTTCAAATTTTTCTAGAAGAAAATGTTGTGTTTTCATTTTCATCCGGCCATGTACACAAAGCTAACCTTTTCATTAAGTAACCAAAGCTTTCAGTGTTTTGTCTATATTCAAAGCCCGTTTCTCAACGTGTATGCAATAGTTTGTGAGTCCCTTTCGCCTAATGGCGAGTCAACATCATTCATTTATTCGACCAGTTACTGCAATTCATGAATTTTTTCATCACTGTAACTAAGGTAACTGCGTAAGCCCGCGGCACCTCGCAGCACCAGCTACAACGCAGTTACCACATATCACCAGGTAGTGTCCTTTTTAATGTTATTTTGGCAGCTGGAAACATGAAGCATCTTCCAGACACCCTCCCAAGCAAGATTCAAGATGAATGGGCTTTTCACGATATTGCCATGAACGTAACATTGCACTGCGAGCTTGAACGTTGTCTGAATGAAAGGGTTTAACAAATACCGTATCCGCAGGGCATGCAAAAGAATATCCATATTATGCTGCCGGCCATTCCTGACCGGACAGCTCAAGTAACCATTCCTGTCTGGTAACCATTAGCCATTAGTAACCAGCCATTAGTAACCATTACTGTCAAGTAACCATTACTGTCTGTTGCAGCATGAACGCCTCAGACGAACAAGAACCGGTCCAGGTCCGATTGCAGCCCTGGAGCATTAAATCCAACGCCAGCTGCGTCCACTACCACCGGAACTCATGGGACGGATCAGGTACTTGCGTGTTCTGCCATCAGCCACGACCAGGCTTGGGTCGGGACGGGCGTGTGTTCTCCCATCAGCCATGACCAGGCGTGGGTCGTGTTCTGCCATTAGCCAGGACCAGGCGTGGGTCGTGTTCTGCCATCAGCCGTGACCAGGCATGGGTCGGGACAGTCACGTGTTCTGCCATCAGCCATGACCAGGCGTGGGTCGAAACGGGCGTGTGTTCTGCCATCAACCACAACCTGGCATAGGCCGGGACGGGTGTGTGCTCTGCCATCAGCAACGACCAGGCGTGGGTCGGCACAGCCACGTGTTCTGCCATCAGCCACGACCAGGCATGGGCCGCGAAGGGCACGTGTTCTGCCATCAGCCTTGACCAGGCGTGGGTCGAGACGGGCACGTGTTCTGCCATCAGCCTTGACCAGGCGTGGGTCGAGGCAGGCACGTGTTCTTTTATAAAACATGATCCGACCCTGCCTTGTGTGCCTGGCCACTCTGAGACCGCGCAAGCACACTTACGCGACTTGAGAGCAGCATAATTATATCCCGAGAGGCGATAGGTCGGGACCATTCAAAGACTCGCCGACTTTTCTCGCTTTCAGAGCCCTTCTGTGCGGCCACCTTCGACAACATAATGTGCTGGCCTCCGTCAGAGAGTGGCAGCACGGTAAAACTGCCCTGCCCTCCGTTCAAAGGCATCGACCCCTCTAGTAAGTGGACGGCCAACATTCTCTACTCGACGGCGCCAACATCTATCGAACTTTTCTCCGTTGATGTTGAGGAAGAACATGATCTGAAATAGTTGTCTACAGTTTCTGTTTCGCTTTAGCACTGACGTCAACTGTCATGTTTTCCACCAATGCCACGATGAGTCGCTGCGTACCAAGGTAAACTGTTGGGCACCATACGAACGCTCTCACCATCTTTGAATACGTGTTGGCTGCTTATTCCAAACGGCGGCTTCAGATACCGGGGAAGCGGCACCGTGATCGATGTTGCGCAGTTTACTCGGTGCCGCACTGTGTAGCGAAGCCGCCTGCAGTGTCCGGTGGGCTGCCCGCAGAGTTCGCCTACAAGTCGTGCTCCGACGACGGCCGGTGGTCGGGCAAGAGTCCTGACGACTTCAGCCGACCACAAGGCTACACCAACTACTCCAACTGCTTCCTGCCCGTGCTGAAGAACCTGCTGGAAAAACTTGGCTCGGATGAGGAGCGCAAGGTGAGCGATCCGGACGCATTGTTTGGGTTGGTCAGGCATCCGCACGTCAGTAACGGGCTTCTGTGGAGTGACTTGGCTTGTATGGTTAGGAGCGGGCTGTATGCACCTGCATCAAATTGCATAGAGGTGCGTTGGCCACGCATTGACTTTTGCAAACATTCTCTAGCGAGATCATAACCCAATGACCTATTATGGTGATGAGGTTTGCTGCTTAATCAGAAGGGCATGGTGGTAAACCCGAGTAGGCGGGGTTTAATAGCGGTTTGCTCACATTTCGTGGTGTTATGTCTCAAACGATTTGCGACTTACATATTTCACCGATACTCAATAAAACGTGCGAGAACCGTGTTTGAGATATGTAGCTAGGCCAACGAAGGAAGGTCAATATGGACAGAGCGCAGACAAATGCAATTTATTATGTTGGATACATCGTTCTGTTTTTCTGGGTATTCTCCACCTTTTGCCAAATTGTCCGCGTTTCCTGGCGAACCACATCGACAAGCGAAAAAATGGCCGCCAGTTCTGACTCATCCAGTCTGGAGTAGCCAAATGAAATACAGCCTCATGCAAGGCTAAACATTCCCAGCTAGGAGAATACCCTGAACATACATACTCAGCCAGCGATATGAGCAACATCAAAACCAGTCATAGGGCGGAGAACTCGTTGGGACCTATAGTACAACGGTTAGCATGCTGACGGGCATACCAGAGATCCGGGCTCACATCCCGGTGGGAGGACCGAAGTTCTGTACCTTATCTAGCAAACAACACCGGCAAGCTGCAGAGCAGCCAGGAAAGTCTAGCTCATCAAAGCGGAGTAGCTGAATACAAAGCAGCCTCATGAAACATTAATATTTTCAGCCAGAAGAATCCCCTTGACAAAAAAGTAATGTGCGAAAAAAGACTGTGATATCAGAAAAAGCGCACTGGTGTCCGGGCAAAAAGTCGAACGGAAAAAATATAGAATGGAAAAAAATTAGACGGCAAATAGTCGATATGGATAAAACTCCACTGGGATAACAGCTGGGATCGGAAAAAATTCGAAATGACAAAAAGTGGTGAAAAGGGATTCAAGTCGATTAAAAGGATTAAAAGTACAGGGAAAATGTCGTATCAGAAAAATTCTAAGGACAAACAGTGCGCAGGAGTAAAAATCTGGGTAAAAGAGTAAGAATCAGAGGTTAGACGAAGCCATATATATCAGCGATGATAATCTATTAGGCAACACAATAACTGAATGAAAAAATTCCATTGACCTAGGGTCAGGTATGAAGGTCAGATCAAGGTCAAAAGCAACCTGTTTTGATATGCTAGAGCTTGCTGTATGAGGAAGTTTCTGGTGCTCATTTCGAATTTTTTGATAACGGGAACCGCATTAGGCATCTTTCATAAACTTCTTAAAGGTCATAATAGGCAAATGATCTAAAATGACCCAGGCCAACATTCTGTAACTCGGAATATACTGTCTAGCGTAATCTTTGTTGCCTTATTCAAATGCAAAACCCAAAGCAGTCCTGTATGATTTTGGTCACCATGACCTTTAAAAGGTTAAACGAGGTCAGTGACCTTGAATGAGCATGGGACTTTTTTTGCTCAGAACAGGTATCTAGGTTCGGGGGCGCTTTGGAGACCAGCCACAATTTGACCTCGTTTGACTTTATTTGACCCCAATGACATGACCTAGGAACATCAACATTTGACTTAAGTGAGTGCACGTATAGACCCATACACCCTGAGAATTTAGTGAACCTAGCTCTCTTAGTTCCTGAGATATCAGGTGGGTCAAACTGATCCCCATACGAGCCGTGGTATCCAACTGGCCACCCGGCCGCGTGATAAAGTCGACAGAGACAAGTCAAAACAGAAAAGGAAAAAAAATCCAAAAGCACAAAAGGTGGAAGGAAGTTCATGAATCACTATAAGTCTTTACTGAGCACAGCTTGAAACGCCATGTATAGACAGTGATAGCATAATCAATGTTTTCTCATCACGTCGTTAAACTGCGCCATCTGGTATAGTTGATATGGCTAAGGTGGGTATGTGGGCAAGTGCCCCTGAACTCGGCATGGGAGGTCCGAAGTGATAATGTCGAACACAGGGATGTAACGTGCTATTCAGTTGGGAGAGAGGGGGAGGGATTGGAGCCAGCCTTCCCAACTTTGGGAAGAAATTGGGTCCTAGTCTGGATAGAAACACATTCGTTTTCGTTTTGGAGATTGGTTGTGTCATCCTCCCAGCCCCACCCAATTCATTTTACGAAAATACGCCCCTGACCAAACGCCCAGATGCTCAATAAATTGTTTGCTGATTTAAAATACTATAGTTCTGTATCAGGAACGGAGCCTCACCATGGTGGTGTTCTTAGGGCTTCATAACGCACGTTCCAGCGCCCTTTCCACACAGTCACACGACAGATACCGCCCCCCTGCCCCGCGGCCGCCCTGCTACTCTGCTCCCTCCCCTCCGCAATGTAAGACGTCGGGGTTGCGGGAGCCGCATGCCACCGTGCAGCTAATGAAAACCAACTGATGCTGCGAAACAGTTGAGATCTTTGTTTCGGCGGCTCATTTAGATCCTCAGGCAGCAGCTCTCCCAAGGGCTACCTGAAAATTTGCCGGTCCCGTCCTACCCCGTCCGATAACGCCGTGCTCCGTCCAGTCCCCTCGGGTCTCGTCCTATTCCGTTTGGTTTCGTCTGGTTTCGACTGGCTCCGTCTGGTTCCGTCTGGTTCCGACTGGTTTCGTTTGGTTTCATCTGGTCCTGTTCTGTCCTGTTTGGTTCTTTGCGACCATGTCCTGTGGCGTCTGATGCTGTCTGATCGCGTACAGTCGCGCGTGGTCCCGTCTGGTGCCGTCAGGTTCGGTCTGGTTCGGTCTCATCTGGTCCCATCTGGTCCCATCTAGTCTCGTCCGGTTTCATCCGATCTGGTCCCATGTTGTCTGTTCTCGCCCGGTCCCCTCTGGTGTGATCTGATCCCGCAAGATCCCGCCCGCTTGTTCAGTCCTCACCCGTCCTGTCTAGTCCCATCTAGCCCCATCTAGTCCCATGTAGTACCATCTACTACCATCTAGTCCCATCTGTCTGTCCGCGGGGCCGCCTCCCATACCAGGTGTCACCGCATCCTGTGACTTTTCTGATTAAAATAATTTCGATTGCCAGCGTTTTTACTTAGCTAAGTTGACCTTTATCCCTGACCGATGTTCTGCCTTTCGGCTTACTCCGTTTCGACTTTCACTCGCGTTGACTCTGTCGACTTTTTGTCTTCTGTCGCTTTTCCTTTTCGGATCTTATCCCTCTCGACTTATTGTCGCTTGCTGGCCGCGGCTGGTACACACGGCCAGGCCCTGAGCGACAGCCCTCCGTCGTCACGCCGCACGCCCCCGGGCGAGGACGCAGCAGGCCGGTCAGCTGACGCCAGCGTATTTTCATCGAGCCGCAGCGTATCTGCCAAGCGTACTGCCGGCCCGCTGTCCCCCTTGAGATGCGCCACTGCGCCATGTTGAGCCACTTTTGGGACGCAGAGGCAGAGTCGCCCGACCGCGTCCTCCGAGGTGGCATACGGTGGACAGAAGATCGGTTCAGAGTTGTGATTATGGCTGAAGCTCTACGCCTCGCCGGGCCGGGCTTTGTGGATTACTACGCAAAGAGGGAAAGCAATCAGCTGTGTTTGTTTCCGACTAAGTACTGCAATTAGCAGATCAGTTTGAATTCATTACCTCGAGTACTGTTTAAAAGCGACCACGGCAGCCTGCAGCGACAGGATGTGCGAGAGAGGAAGACCCTGCTGCTGAGGCCGTTGGAATGGGCTTGAATCGTAAGGCTTAAGCCCCGCCTGCGTCGTAGCAGCATTATTGACGACATTTGATCAGCGTACCGCTGGGCTGTCGCGCTCGGCGGCCGAAGAGATGTCGGCCGAAGTGCCGCCTGGCTGTCTGTTCAACTACCTAATGATGTCGCCTGCTCGTGTTTCAGTTGAAGTTCATGATCGCCGAGGGGACCAGGACAATGGAGCTCATCGGCTGGTCCATCTCTCTGCTCTCCCTGCTCGTCTCACTCTTCATCTTCTTCCACTTCAAGTAAGGGAATGCTTGCGAAAACGTGAATAGGAACAATCTGCATCCGCCTGTGGAAGTCTTCGTTGCTTCCGGACTTCTGTCTGTGGAAGTCTGCGTTGCAACCAACGCAATCCAGTTCTCAGTATCCCTGCACGCGGCACACCCTGCGCCGGGGCCCATTAATCGTGCCCCTGACTCCGCAGCAGCTGATACACCGACGCACATCTGACGATTCCCTGAATCCCGAGCCCGCCTGACGTTCAATGGGCCGACGCCGTGTGTTCCTCTGCGGTCTAATCTTACGTAACGTTCAATCTGGAGGGGTGGTGTCCTGGTGTGTCGCCCCCTGTTCCCCGATTATCGTCGGGGCCCGACACCGGGCACCGCGCGCCGCTTCACTTTCTTTGGTCGGGCTAGGATCGTCCTGTTGCGAAGGCTTGGCATGTCACAGACGGGTTCGAGGAAGGAACTGGTTCACAGAATGCATTCTAGTCCCATCTACGCCTTTGAATATGTATGGTGGGCTGAGGAACGTTAGGCTTTACGTTCATCTAGATGGTGTTTTTCCCTCGAGCTCTGGCAGGGACTCTCAGTGGCATTTCCAGCAAGTTTTACGAATGTGTGAAGCAGCTGTTATGTCTTGCTTTCCAGTTGTTATGCCTTGCTTTCCTTGTGCCAGACCTGCCTTGTGACCATGTTGTGATCTTGGTGGAATTCTGGGTATACACCAATGCTGCCACTGGTCGGGAACACAGGCTGCCACCAGCAAACCTTTGCTGTGAGATGCCCACGGGCACCCCCTTCAATTCAGCCAGACAAGAGACCAAGTTAACAAGCTTTCCCATCGTGCTCCATTGTGACAGGTGTTCCAGCGTCGAGTCCACATCTGTGGGTCTTCCCTGTGCTGACAGGGCGGAGCACGCACGTACCGTGCATGGCCGCAGCCGCCGCCTTCGCTGACCTCATCCATCCCCGCCAGGAAGCTGCAAAACCATCGGACGCGCATTCACCGCAACTTGTTCGTGGCCATGCTGATCCAGGTGCTGGTGAGGCTGACGGTGTACGTCGACCAGGCCATCGTGCGCAAGCCAGACGTCGGGGACCACAGGCGCGGTATCGACAACACGGTTAGTGGGCGCGCCGCCGCCAGACCGCCCCGTGGGCGGCGGATTCTACGAGACGGATGGAGAGGGCCGCCACGGGGAACGCTGACCCGGGGCCCCGGTCCCGGGAGTCGCCCTGAGTCTTCCGGAAGCGTCGGTTGGCAGACAGAGGTGGGCCATCGGCTCTCTGAGTCGATCTTCAATACGAGCCAGTAACAAACTAGCAGCTGCCTTGCTCAGTCGAAGGTATTGCTGGCAATGTTGGGACGCGCTCAGTTGGAGCTCCTGAACCAGATTCATTGGTGTAGTTTCGCAAAAGAGATAGGAAGCAGGGCGAATTCTAAACCCACCCCAAGACTACACAAACAGCGGGCTTATCACCGGATTTAACTCATTTCCCCTCGAAAGATGGGAGGGGGCTCCAGCCTTCTAAAATGAATGAATAATTACACCCCGACCAAGTCATCAAACGCCCATTGCTCATCTCGCACTCTCAGCGGGCCGCTCACCCACAGATGTGGGGAGATTTGCCGGAACTGGTCCTGACCCTGCTTGACCGCTAATCCCGGGCGGAGAAAGGCGACGGTGAACCAAAATTCATAGCCGAGACCCAAATCCATGCATGCCCGATCAAAGACAAATTGCATTCCCATGTGCTTGTAGCAAAATATGAAACGTAACGACACCCGTCGGCAACCAATTATTGATCGGTATTGTAATTTAATTATCACAATAGTTTTCTTACGCTATCAAAGCCAGTATGACATATGCTGATGGCCTGAAGTGTTCGAAACCTAACGCATCTTTCAGATCTTCTTTGCCCAGCGTTTGATTTCTGGCATTGAAAACTATTTTCTTCACGCATCGTTTGCGTTGAGGGTAGGCTTTAAAGAGCAACAACTACCCAGCCATTTTTTGCTTAACTTTTTTAATCATTATTATTTTTTTCCTTTCTTGCTTCAGACCAATCAATCTATGCGAGCTCCAGAAGCCGTCTATCGCGCGAGGAAGAATCGTGATAATAAGCGTGACGGCCGAAGAGAGCGACCGACTGACCCATGTGCCCTAACCCCCAGCAGACGGCTTGGTGATGGGAAGCTTGGCTGATGAAGTTTTTGACAAAGCTCGAGCATAGCTCCTATTGCTCTTTCATCCAAAACAAAGCTTTCAAAATACCACGCTAAGGACAGCTGGTGTTGACACGATAATTTAATTGAATACAAAGTAGGCCCGTAGTAATGAAGTCTGGCGTTTAGTGCATCTTTCAAGCGTTTCCAAACACTTCTCAGTAGAACCATAGCTTCATGAAAGCGTATTGGACTTGTTATGACCAAAACAGGTGCAGCTTTGGTAGAAACTGGTAAGGATTGCAAGCGTAGAAGTCCCCACGTGCAGCTGATCATTCAGCTCACTTCCACCGGCAGGGCAGCAACGCCCTATTATCGGGACTCTGGGAGGCCCCTCCCGCGAGCCACCCAGTAGTCGTTTGATGAGTTTTTCCCGCCAAAATGTGTCCACGCTAAGTGTTTTCGCGTCTGCTCACCACGGTAGCCATCAACTGACCCCGACTGACCCCAACAATGGCGGCAAACACCGTTTAAACATCAACTCACATCAGCCCTTGGCGCTGGGATACGGAGGCCGGGGGCTGTGACTGGTTTATTGCATTAAAAGCTGAATTAGGCCAGCCATTGTGCGTCAAGAACAAGCACTATCGACCAGCATTGACTCGGGAGAATACCAGGACCTACAGTCATCTACCCTATGCTTTCACGGTCGTCAGCGTGCCGCAGCTTGCGAGCCAGACGATATCTCCCCAACGGTGCGTCATATTACGAACAACAATGCTGGATCCAGATTAGAATTGTGCATCCAACACTGAAACACACTTTGAGTAGGTTAAAATGCTACATCCACGTTTTTGGTTTGTTAAGACAGGAGCGCCCCTTAGAAAACGATCGAAAATAAGTATTTATTTTCTCCTAAACTGCCTCTTATAATATGGTAGCCTTGTTCAATTGAATTCCTCTAAGCAGCAGAGCCTGAAAGACCTTACTTCCTAAAAAGATAGCATTTTAACACAAAACCGAGTAGGATTTGCTTCCCTATGAGAATAGCCTGGACCACATCAAGCATCGAGATTGCTAAGCGCCCAACGTAACTGATTTCACCTCCTCAATCGAGGACAGTCTTGAGCAGTATAGAATTGATCAGCACTTGAATCACCAATGTGAGTAGACGAGAGCTACTGTTAAATATACCTCACTCTTCAACCCAAGAAGCGATCTAGCTCGGAGGCTTTCTTTTGATGAGTGCTCAGCGGTTGAAACCTCAAGACTCGTTGCATGACGAGGAACTAGGACCTCACTACAGCAGCCTCACCTACAGTTCCCACATGATCCAGAGCCAAAGATTCTGGATCTGAAACCGGCAAATCTTCATGTTTTCTTGCGGTTGTTGACCTTTGCGTTGGTGGTCACTCCACATCGAACGTTGAGTAGTTGATCTACATGAAAGCTAAAGCACGGCCAGCGTGTATGGCACGGCCAACAGCATGACTTCAGCGAGCAGGTGTCACATGTTCACTGCATTATGTATTGAAATAAAGCGTCATATGACTCAGACGAAGAAGAAACATGTCTCGCGCATGTTTGCCAAACAAAACAAAACAATTCCCGACTATTCGGTAAATATGGTGGCTTTCCACCAACATTGTGCCGGCCCATGCACAATGAAAACAAAGTAAAGAAATAAATGTACGAGGGCGTTTCTCGATCACGACTCCCACTAAACCTACCATCCTTGAGCGCGCAATTGTCGTCAGCTCGGAACCATGGTATGGGAAACTGATATGTCATCACTGTGTTCTTCACCTCACGCGTCCAGGCCCAGGGTTCTGGCGAGCTTGATCACGTCCCGCGGGCCTCCTGTCTCACTTATATGAAGGACGTGGCGCTCGACAAGACAAACATATTCTTCGCTTTTAGGCGGGGGGTGGGGGTGGGGGGGGGGGGGGGGGGGGTGGGGAGCATGATCACAAAGTAAGCGACCACGGGGCGATAGCGTCCCACAGATCTACCTCGCACACCACTTCGCCCTCCACGACATAGCTGCCATCGGCCAGATGACATCCACTGAAGGCGTAGTCACTGAAGACGGCGTCTTCGTTCGTCGATAGAGGATCAAACAAGGCGGAAACAAGGCCTCGGGTAGAGCAAAACCAACGATATATAAATCCGCAAATACGAAGTACCAAATACCCTCGGGAACACACAACACGATTCGCACTCCTGGCCAAAATGAGCAGTGCGAGAGGCAATCACCATAATGCGGTGCTATCCATGTCGATTGCCGGACGGTTTTGTTGTGTCAGGCTACGACGCAAGGAAGTCTGCGCTGGATACGATAACAAAGCGTATCTGCACACGATTTTTTGCAGAAGGCCAATAACTACAGACGCAGCATAAATATTTCGCCGAAATGAGCGGAAGAGAATGGAAACAAAACCAAGCCTTAGGTCCGAACGCATCTGTGCCGACTTCTTCAGTCGTCATCGGTTAACAGACTAGAACCCGTTTGACAGACTAGAACCCATATCACGCGCTCGCATTTAACAAGCCGTGACTTTCTCGAACAAAATCCTCATCCCTGAGACAGACGTGCGGTGAAAATACACAATACCTGACCAAATATTGGACAATATTGGGTTGTAGCCGGGGGGGAATGTTTGATTTCGCCGGGACCGTGACGTCATTGGCGTGTCACAGGATCACTGAGCCTTCTGACATAAATCCCATTTCAGAACAAAGCGACCAAAAACTCCGAATTTTACAAGCTCATGTTTCGAAAAAAATCTGAGCCGCGCCTATGAGGGAGTCCGAAGCTCTGAAGACGACTGCGCCAATATTAGACCTAGCCGAGGAACGGTCACCAAGTTATAGCCTTGGGCGGTTTTGAGAGGTCATGCTGCTGACACTTCTTTTTATGGCCCATAACTTGCAGCGGAACGGCTTAAGCCCCATAAAACTGCACATCAGCGAACTTGCAATAACGAAAGAAAACTTGCAGCATTCTCAAAATTTTCTGTTTTATAATTTTAAGTTCGTGACCTAGTGACCTTCTTTTCGTGGCGTATCTTGACCTTTTGCATGCTAAAATGTTAAGCTTTTACTGAAGATCGAAACGTATAAAAGGCCCTTCGAGCGCTTTCTCCGCACATTTTCGAATTAAATGGAGATATCTACACGCGGTCAATGCCAGTCGATTGTTCATGTTATTCTAGGCAATTAATTCAATAACAAGCAATCAATGTTCTTGCTCTCAATATCTTTGGACTGGGTGGAGATACCTATCGAGATCCGTCAACGACAATCGATCGGATGAGCTATTCTGAGCAAGAATCTAGGCATGCTCGGGTTCCAGTTCAAGATAAATATCACTACTGAGATCCTGTACATAGTTTGACTAGTTCTACCTAAGGGGGATGCTTAGCAGAATTATCCTGCTGTGCTTTGTGAACGTTCCTAACGCATTGGAAGCAGTTAATGCAAGGCCAGACTCACGAGGTGACCTAGGAAGGCATTATCACTTTACGTGAAGCAAAGGCTGCCGTCACTGCTGACGTCACAGGCTGCTGCATGTTGACGTCCAAACATGACGCAGGTTTGATCACGAGGAATGCTTTTCATACGTCTCGACACATCTCTCCTGGACGCCAATACCGCTGCTTGCTACAACAATACAACAATCCAATGCAATGCAACTTACTGTTGTGTTTTACACTGTGCAAATCATAGACCGCCATGTGCACTGTACAGGTTGCTTCCAGAGACCAGTCACCGCCGACTTCCGTGGTGAAGTGATTCGGCGACAGAGTCGAGTCGAATGCCTCCAGTCGTCGAATGCTCCCATAAGAAGCTTCGCTTTCCTTCCGCCGTGTTCTAAAGGCTGCTCGAGGACGAATATAGTCTGATGACTCACGGGCGAGAAGCTGAGACATTGCCTTGTGCCTTGCACAGCAACAG